CTGAAACCATGAGGGCTAGAAACCTACTGCTTTTTCTAAAATAAATACTGAGATATTCATCTAATCACATCCCTTCAGTATCTGGGGCTTTAGAAAAAAACAACAAACACTAAATATAGTGAGAGTTAGCAACACTGTCCATATGAAATATTAGACTTACCATCGTGTAGCACTGCTGCCACCAGTGGCACCCTCCCCTCCCCAACAATGGGCACAGCCAGGGCAGGGGGAATGGAGTCAAAGTTAACTAGAGGTCTTTTACCTAGCTGGATTCTGGAATTGAAGAGATAGAAATCACTAATATTTCTGGAAAATGGAGCCCAGTGGTATTAGTTTGACAGAAGTAGCAGCTGCAGGATTGTGCCTCAAACAAGCCAGAAAAAAAAAAAACCCTTAAAAAAATCTCTTCAAGCACTGCCAACCAGATGTGGAGGTGCTTGTCATAGTATATAGCAAGCTTCCAACATCTCAGTTTGTTGGGAATCCCTCTCCCATAGCGTCTTTAGCAGCGTGAGGCCATAGAGACTCAGGACGTGTGCATAGGTCTTCAGGCAAGGCCAAACCAACTGTTGGAGAAGACTATTGACTTTCAGGCCTTGTATAAGCTAGGCTTTTTTCTGAATTTGGTCCTATTGCCGCTAACACCTGCATGCCCCCCAAAGTGGCAGCCATTCAAAGCTGCCATTCTCTGGTGAATCCTGGAGAGGGAGCAGTGGGAAAAAAACATCCCTTCCCTCCCCTGCGATGATAATAATGGTCCCTTCTGGCCTTCAAGTCTATATTAATCCATCAAGGCACAACACAAGCTTGCTGGTGCAATTTGCATTTCCTTGCACCAAAGGGGTAAAACAAGCCCAATATTTTTCTAAGAAATTGGACAACAATTATGTGGGAAAGACATGGCAGGTCTAAATGCACTGATGTTCAGAAGTTAAGCAGTGACAACTATGTACATGAGAATATCCGAAGAAGGCAAATTGGTAAATGAAAGCACTAATAAAAGAGAAAATTATCTGTATTTTAAAAATGTTTTTAGACTGTACCCTATGTACATAAAGGCAACAGTTGCAAATGGCATTGGTATAGTATATGGCTAGTCTAATCATCATCTAACTATTCCCTATAATTTACTGTGAAGTCCTAATGGCTACTCTCTAATGACTCACAAGAATTTTATAACTGGCTACTATCCATTCACCTGCTCTCTTACCCACAGATGGCCAAAATCCAGAGATTTAAAAAAAACAGGAAATAATGGCATTAATAATTTAACAGTTTGACAAATATTAATCCACGTGCATCATCATTTGATCCAGAAATTGGTCACAAAGAGACAACTTGCTTAGCATCAATAAAATTGGGGATTAGATACTTTGAAAAAGCAAGGATAAGTTTGTTCTATGAATTAAGTTTTTGCAGGATATGCAAATATGTCATCTCTATTTGCATGCTGTAAAACGTATAGTAAAGGGAAGAAACATTCTGCAGATTAGAAAGTATAAATTTTCATATTTACCTCATTTTATGTAACAATTCCGTTTTATTACTTTTATGATGACATGATTTACAATATATGGCCCCTTATTCACAGTGCATCCACCTATTTCTTTTTTAATATAATTTAATCACATTGTATAGAAGATATTATAGCCATTATGTCAAAGCGTTAATATCATGGGGCAGAATAATGTCAGTTTTTATTAAAGTGTTATTAATATCCATTCATTTAATGTCTTTGAAGCAAGAATTCCAGAATATTAATGGCTCTTCTCTTGTCTGCACACTGCATACTCTGTACTGTAGACTGTTAAAGATATGAATCAGAGGTGAAGCCAATCATCTAATATTAGAAATACTTTGTGACTCAAAACACAGAAGAATTGTGACATCTAGGTATCTTTAATATTCTGTGTTAAATGGCATCAACTAAAAAGTGTGACAGACACTCAATAAAACTGAATCAACACTTAAAATTAGGACGACAAGGACAACAGAATGCAGCGTAAAACAGGTTAATTTTCCAACTCCCACAAGGAAAGCACATGGTTAAATCTTGTTCCTTGTACAGAGAGATTAGTCTCTGCTGCACTTGCCATGCATGAGGTTCTTACATTTATCGCACATCTAGATAGATTACATGTAATCAATGGGGTGGCCAAGGATTGTATTTTAACAAGAGCATGTAAATAATTCATAATGAATAATTTATTCAATGCATTTTTCATCCTGCATTTTCACAGAAAAAATTGTAAATTTTTTGAATGTTTTTGTTACTTGAAGTGGGTAAAAATGTCTTCAGTGAATAACTGTTGGTCATTTGGGAACAGTTCAGTGCAAATATTTGACATTCAAAATATTTGTTTTATTGATTATTTATAAAAAGCAATGTGGTATTGTTTCTTTTCCTCAACTAGATGACCTAGATTAACTAACTGTGGTGCTCAGTGCTTAAGTTACTTGCAAGAGATCTGCTATATTCAGTGTCTGAGTTTTAACTGATCAGAATTGAAAAATCATGAGCCTCTGCATAACAAAAGAACAATTTCTAACAGGCTCATTCCAGTCTCTTAAAGGTACAGTTCCCCACACTAACCAAAACCACCCCTCCTTTTAAATGGAATAGAGGAGCATAAAATCTTACTTCATATTGTTGCTAGTTAGTTAAGCATTCTGAAATTCTCTTGTGAATATTCAGGAATCCAAGCATAACCTGTGAATTTTGCAAATATTCAGCTAAAACTAACAGGGATCAAAAAAGAACAAGATAAATTAATGGAGGATAGGTCTGTCAATGGCTATTAGCCAAGATGGGCAGGGATGGTGTCCTTAGCCTCTGTTTGCCAGAATCTGGGAATGGGTGACAGGAAATGGATCACTTGATGATTACCTGTTCTGTTCATTCCCTCTGAAGCACCTGGCATTGACCACTGTCAGAAAACAGGATACTGGGCTAGATGGACCTTTGTGGCCCAGAAAAAAATCATTTGCTAAAATAATTGTGCAAACACAAAAGAAGAAGCATGATTGAAGAAAATGTCTTTTAAAATTTGAATGAGTATTCATGGACGTTTTTTTGTAGTTTTAGTTTTAAACTCTAGCTATAGTTTTACCTATACGTTTATGTATATAGCATGTCTGGTTTGTCATGGATCAGATAAGAAGTGACTATGAAAAAAATTCTTTTTTTTTATAGAAAAATGGGAAACAGAAAATGTCACTTCATAATGTCTTTGCATACTAACTAGGCCCCAAGGCTGGCCACAAAATATTACCCGATTAATTATATCATTGTCTAAAATGACATGAAAACTCAAGTTTCCCTGCTGTATCCAATATTTGCTAAATACTTTTTTCATTATATTAGATATTCTTAATAATATAGAGCTGAGTTGGAACCACAATATCACTAACTTAGATAGGTGTGTACTATTCATGTCTTAAAAGTTTGTATTAGAAGATATAATTTACTCAATATATTAGTAAAAAAAATAAATTGCTTGAAAAAGCATTCTGCTATAATATCCCAACATGCCTATCTTATTTGACTATAGCACATTAAGGCCTAAACCTGTATTTATTATCTCCTATATATACAGGTATTAATAGCCTGTTAAAATAAATTCACTGGTAACCCATCATGACCTGGTGGACAACAGAAAATTCATTTTTCTTTTGTCATAACAGAAAATAAACTAATTCCATTTCTTATAAAGGGAAATATTGGAAATGAAAGTATAGAGCTTAAAATAAAATTTGGTTGCCTTATCATCCTTTTATTTCTTCTTCCTCTGAAGACTGTAAAAAGACTATTCAGCAATATCCATTAATAATATTCCCAATCAATACTTTCAGACAGAACAGAATGCAATGAATTATAAGTAGTCAAGTACTATTATCTATGTGACTGACAGTGTAATGGCAAAAATTAATAGTTTCCTTTTATTGAAGGCAAAAGGGCATAAAAACACAAGACCTGAATGGTTTCCTAGTTTAGTTGTCCTTGTCTAGTAACAAAAAGCAATGAAACTCAAGAGACCAAGAAACCCACTGTACATCTAATGTATTCTACCTTTGTTGTACCATTTTGAGTATTATAGCTGATGATATAGCTTACATAATCACTTCCAATGTAGATGCTTAACATAACTATTTGTGCTTATTTTTTCCATCTCCATTGATTAACAAAAATTTGGAATCAGGTGAGGTAATCACCAAGAAAAGGCTATATGATATATAGCAAGAAGGCTAGCCAACACATACTTCAGTATATCCATGCTGTAAAGTTCCCTTATGTTGGCCATTAGTAAATTAGAATCTCGTTACCCTTATTAGCCCCAAGTCCTCTCTCCTTCACAATGGAAACAAATCTAGATTCACAGTGATTTTAGTGACATTTCTTAGAAATTAATCTGAGTATTGGGGTTTTACAAGGAGCAGGAAATCACGTGGGCCATGTTAACAGCACTATGCACTCTAAAGGTGTATAAGCACTTACCTATCACACAGGATAATGTGGAGATAAACTCATTGTCTATAAAGTGCTTTGAGATCCTTAGATTGAAGGTGATAAGTAAATGCAATTAGTGTTATTAAAATGGAGGGGCACATTTACTTTTTGTACCATAGCAATGCATCTATAGAGATTGAGAGGAGTTTTGCAGCATCTTCCTTAGTATACAGTTTGACTGAGGAGGCTTTAGAATAAATGGATTTTCTGGGTACAAGGCATGGGTTGAAGTTTTATACAGAACTAGTAGATGAAAGCTTCTGTGGTAGCACAGGTGTGACCATTCAGCGCAGTCATCCACTATCTGTACTTTGTACCTGATTCATTTTCCCTTCATGTTCTTCTTTTAGCCTTTCTCTGGCCTATGAGGATAGTTTTCTTTCTTGGCACTGTGTGTGGTCAAAGCTTAGAGTGGTACTGGTACCACCATATACCAGAACATGTGGGAGCTGTTTTCATTTGTTCCCAATTCTGTACATCTTGGAATCGGATGATGTCAGTCCTTCGGGAGACCTTCACACCAGTATGACTGCGTACTATTTGACCAAACATGAAACACTAACAGAACACAAAGCAGGGTGTATTAGTCAACAGGAACTTATACAGAACAGCAGAAAAGCCACGTGGTGAGGTATTTTGGGTTCTTGTGTCCATGCACTGTGTTTTAGTGAGTAGTGTGGCTATTTGTATGTGTTCCCTAAAGTTTGTGCACAGAGCTGCCCTTTGGCTAGAGGCACAACTACCTCTCTAAAAAAAGAACAGGAGTACTTGTGGCACCTTAGAGACTAACAAATTTATTTGAGCATAAGCTTTCGTGGGCTACAGACCACTTCTTCGGATGCATAGAATGGAACATATATTGAGGAGATATATATACACCTACAGAGAGCATGAAAAGGTGTGAGTTGTCTTACCAACTCTGAGAGGCCAATTAAGTAATGATGCTGTGGTCATCATGAATAAATTAGAATATGACCAAGAGGCTGCTAAACAGCTCTCTAACACCACATTCTACAGGCCATTATCCTCTGATTCCACTGAGAATTACCTAAAGAAACTACACCATCTGCTAAAAAAACTCCCTGACAAAGCACAGGAACAAATCTGTACAGACACATATCTAGAACCCCAACCAGGGGTATTCTATTTGCTACCAAGATCCATAAACCTGGAAATCCTGGACGCCCCATCATCTCAGGCATTGGCACCCTAACATCAGGATTGTCTGGCTATGTGGACTCTCTCCTCAGGCCCTATGCTACCAGCACTCCCAGCTATCTTCGAGACACCACTGACTTCCTGAGGAAACTACAATCCATTGGTGATCTTCCAGAAAACACCATCCTGGCCACTATGGATGTAGAAGCCCTCTACACCAATATTCCACACAAAGATGGACTACAAGCTATCAGGAACAGTATCCCTGATAATGTCACAGCTAACCTGGTGGCTGAACTTTGTGACTTTGTCCTCACCCACAACTATTTCACATTTGGGGACAATATATACCTTCAAGTCAGCGGCACTGCTATGGGTACCCGCATGGCCCCACAGTATGCCAACATTTTTATGGCTGACTTAGCACAACGCTTCCTTAGCTCTCGTCCCCTAACGCCCCTACTCTACTTGCGCTACATTGATGACATCTTCATCATCTGGACCCATGGAAAAGAAGCCCTTGAGGAATTCCACCATGATTTCAATAATTTACATCCCACCATCAACCTCAGCCTAGATCAATCCACACAAGCGGTCCATTTCCTGGACACTACTGTGCTAATAAGTGATCGTCACATAAATAGCACCCTATACCGGAAACCTACTGACCACTATACTTACCTACATGCCTCCAGCTTCCATCCAGGACACACCACACGATCCACTGTCTACAGCCAAGCTCTAAGATACAACCGCATTTGCTCCAATCCCTCAGACAGAGACAAGCACCTACAAGATCTCTATCAAGCATTCTTAAAACTACAATACCCACCTGCTGAAGTGAAAAAACAGATTGACAGAGCCAGAATATCATCAAAAAAGTGAATGGTCAGAAGTTTGTGTACAAGTTTGTTTCTTATCCGGAGATTTTGAATATTGCTCCACTGATGGTGGGCAGGATTGAGGGAGACCCCGTGATGGCTGGCTTTGCAGAAGTCAGCAGTGCTCCGAAGGACCTGGAAAACGGAGTGAAAGAGAAGTCCCAGACCTGTGCTAAATCATCCAGCCGCAATGACTATATCCATTCAGGCCTGTACTCTTCTTTTACTCTGAACTCCCTGAACTCCTCCGGTGTGAAGCTCTTCAGGTCGGTCAAGATTGAGAATCCAGCTGAGAAACTGGTGGAGAAAAAACCTGCTCAGGATTTGACACCTTCAGTCATAAAGTTTGTGACCATGCCCTCCAAAAGGCCTGCAGTTGCACCCCTTGCCTCCACTCTTCCTACAGAATCAGAAGAAACTCTCCAGACCTTGGAGACTCTAGTTCCACCAAAATTAACTCCCACTGAAGCTCCAGCCCCTTTGCCAAACTTCACCACCACCTTCACCTCAACACCACCTGCATCTTCCATTTCTCCCACTCTGGAGGTTCCTTCCACACCCCCTTCACCACCCTTGAGTTCTAACCCTGACCTGGACATTGACACGGACATAGAGTCGGTGGCTTCTCAGCAGTTGGAGCAGTCTCAGAACCCTCAGCACCTATCACCAGAGGCCAGAGAGCACGATTTGTCTGTGCTAGAGAAGGATCTTGCCAATCACGTCTCCAGAGCTAAAAAACCCAAAGGGCTGGAGCTAGCTCCCACTCTTGTCATTACAGGCAGTGATCCAAGCCCACTGGGGATACTAAGCCCTTCTCTCCCTACTGCTTCTCTTACTCCAGCATTTTTTTCACAGACTCCCATCTTGCTGACAGACGAGTACCCAGAAGTCACCTCCTACAAGACAGGCCCAACAAAGAAAATAACAGAACACCACTAGCTGTCACCTTCAGTCCCCAACTAAAACCTCTCCAGCGCATCATCAAAGATCTACAACCTATCCTGAAAGATGATCCCTCACTCTCACAGATCTTGGGAGACAGACCTGTCCTCACTTACAGACAACCCCCCAACCTGAAGCAAATACTCACCAGCAACCACACATCACTGAACAAAAACACTGACCCAGGAACCTATCCTTGCAACAAAGCCCGATGCCAACTCTGTCCACATATCTATTCAAGTGACATCATCATAGGACCTAATCACATCAGCCATACCATCAGGGGCTCGTTCACCTGCACATCTACCAATGTGATATATGCCATCATGTGCCAGCAATGCCACTGTGGGGTAGGGAGACCCAAGCCCACCCTATTCTACGTGGTCTCAGCACAGGGCCCTAAGAGTGGCAGATGAGTCTGCCACTGGGTCAGTGGGGATCCTCCCAAAACACACTGATTCACACTCTGGCAGCAGAACTGGACTAGAGTCTGGCCCCCCTGGGCTACTTCACACCACAGTCTGGGTGTAGGGTCCCGTGATCCAAAGATCCTCTGTCTCCTTGGGGTACTCAGCCACTGGCAGCTCTGGCAGCTCCTCAGGGTCCGTGTCTGCCTCCCCTGATGGTAAGGGGTTAGTCCACTCCAGGGGTGGTCTGGGCTCATGCAGAGGCATCTGCTCCCTAGAAGACATATCCACTCTCTCCTGTGGCTCAGTGGCAACTGAGCTCCAGGTCTCTCCTTTTCTACTTCCTGTCTTGCCCTGGTACTTCCAGTGAGTGGGGCAGGGGAGTGTAGTGGTCCCTCACACTCCAGTTCGGAGGAAGGCCACTCCACCTCACTACATACCTGGCCATGCAGAAGGATGACAACAGCAAGAAAATAAAACTATTATTTTACCTTATTGGGGAAGAAGACAGAGAGATCTACACCGCTCTGAAGCTCACCACTGCCTCACGCCTCACAGCAGTTTTAGGAGTCCTGGGGAACTGCTGATCCCCAAAGCAGAACAAAACTGTGGAGTGACATCGGTTTTTCACAAGAAATCATGACAGGAAACTACAAGCTTTTCTACAGTGATGCAGGGACAACAACATAAGACTCAACCCAGAAAAAAATGTGGCTCAGACACAGTGAGGTGACATCTGCTTACAGCAGAGGGACTGAAAGCAGATCCCAACAAGTCAGTCAGAGACCGGCCAAATCCAGTAGGTGAGAAAGGGGTAAAGTGCTTCATAGGAATGATACATTTTATGTCCACGTCCTCTCCACACCTGGCTGTAGTAGCGGAACCCATATGTCAGGCTCATGAGGCATGTTGAATGGGATTGGGCAGCTCCCCAACAGCAAGCATTTTGGCTTGGTGAAACAAATGATAACTGATGCCCCTGTCCTGAGGTACTATCAGCCATGAGAGCTACTGACGCTCCGATGTGATGTATCGGAGAAACGATTGGGTGTAGCTCTTTTGCAGGAGCAGCCAATTGCTTATGCCAAGACTGCCCCATAGAGATTGAACAGGGTACACCCAAATAGTGTATTACCTGGTGTGGTATCTGGAATGGAGCGATTCCATCAGGACACCTATGGACACTCATTAATAGTGCAATGAACCCACAAAACCTCAGAGACAATCATTGCAAAGCCCCAAAGAGATTGCAGCACATGTCAATGCACCGCCAGCCCTGCCAGGGAAAGAACAGATATTGTCCAGGATGATTACTAGTGTTAGCTAATACCAAGAGCAGGGCATATATACCCCGCATCAGTAAGCTGGGAGAAGAGGATCAGGACACTGAATCCATTAACATGTGTCACTACCCCGCAGTTTCAATAGCAAAGCTGATGGAAATCAAGGAGCCTACAGAAAGGGCATCCAAGTACAGACAGTCTAGAGAGCAATACTAGCATCACGGCCAGAAAATAAGAGCCAAGTACCAGTAGGAGCAGAACCATATTTTCAAATTAAAGATGAGCTGAATGTGCAGGATGGAATCTTATTTCCAGGACAGAGAGCTGTTGTTTCTGCCTTATTATATAAGGATGTCATGTAAAAAAAAAAAAAAAGTTGCCTCACACTGGGCACTGACAGCTGCCTTAGTGAGTGTCTAACCAAGCTGGGATCCCTGCTTGAGCCAGTGCACTAAAGTTGGCAGTGTAGCCAGGGATAGCACAAGGAGCAGTTGGACATAACAGCTGGAGTACAAACCCACGTGGTCCCACAGGTATGTACTTGGGCAGTTAGCCTGAGCCACCACCTGTATTGCCTTCAACTACACTGCTATTTTTAGCATGCTAGCTCAAGGAGAGCTAGTGCATGTCTGTCTACCCTTGCTGAGAAGCACGCTCCCAGCTGAAGTGTAGATGTACTCTTAGATGGGCTTAAGCCTGCATTTGCTGGCCAGGAATGAATACACAACTCCTTTTCTTGAAAGAAGGGTGTGACACCTGCTGGTTGTGTAATAACCACCAGCAGAAAGTACTGATACCACGTGAGCTACTCACTGGACTTTGGGAAAAAGGTGGGAGCAGATTTATTTACCTTCAATGAAAAGCAGTATTTGATTACAGTGGATTACTACTCAAATATCTGGGAGGTTGATGCCCTGCGTGATACCAGATTGGCAAACTGAAGGCCTTCTTTGTGAGATACAGCATTCCGCATGCTGTATTCACTGATAAGGGACTCCCATTTGCCTTGGAGGAATTCAAGGAATTTCCATGCTAATAGGTGTATGACCACCATACCTCTTCCCCAGCATACCCAAAGACAAGTGTTAAGGTGGAATCAGCTATGTAAACTGCTAAGGTTACATCCACACTTCGAACTAGAGGTGTGATTCCCAGCTCATATAGACTTGCTCATGCTACCTCTCATTTGAGCTAGCATGCTAAAAACTAGTAGTGTAGCCAGGGTAGCATGGGCAGCAGTATCAAGGGCTAGCTGTGCTGAGTACATACTCATGGGATTTAGGAGGCCTTGTATTCAGCAAGGCTAGCCCCATGTTGCCGCTGCCTGTGCTACCCTGGTTACACTACTATTTTTAGCATATGAGCTCAGATGAGAGCTAGCATGAGTATGTCTATGTGAGCTGGGAATCACATCCATAGCTCATAGTGCAGACATAATGTAAGAGACTGTTACACAAGGCTGTTTCTTCTGGTTCAGACCCCTTGTTTCCATTTTTGGCACAAAGGAATATCCCATCACAGAGATACCACAAGAGTCCAGTGCAGGCACTGATGGGATGAAGGAACAAAACCCTGCTACCAATGACGGGAGACCTGTTGCATTCAGAAGCAAGGAAATACCACGGAGGGGAGATGGCCAACAATCAGCGAAAGCAGGCACTAACATATGGCAGGTTACCATATGTTACCATATACATATACTATGTAACATATGTTACCAGCCCTGGAGACAGGCATTCCTATGAGGATCTAGCCAATACAGAGACACTAGAAGGAGTGGACTAAAGGATTCACGCAGATTGCAGTGGCACTCAAGTCATATGAGGTGAATACACAAGAGTGATAAGTGATTCAAAGGAACAGGAAACATGAGCCAGTAGACAACACCCAGAGACAGCCTTCAGAGATCATCACAGAACAGAGAGACAGAGAGACAGCTAGAGGCTGACCGCACAGGTTTGTAGTTGATGGCACACGAGTAGAACAAGGAACATGGGGAGTTAGGTTGGAAGCAACTCAGCCACATTGACAGAGCAAGAATCCTAACAATGGTATTAGTCTATTACTAGAAGGAAATAGAGAATTATCAATAATAATGCAGAAAAGGAAGAGGTGTTCAATCAATATTTCTGTTTTATATTTGGGGGTGGAGGGGAACAGATGATAGTTAGACATTTTTAAATCACAGATAACTTTCATCCAAGAGTTGGACCATTAATGTTGATTTTTCAATAAGTTTTGGAATACTGGGGGAAGTTCCAGAAGACCAGAAGAGAGTTAATGTTGTGCTAATTTTTAAAAAGGGTAAATGGGATGACTCAGGTAATTATAGGCCTGTCAGTCTGACATTGATCCCAATGCAAGATAATGAAGTGATTGATATGGGACTCAATTATAAAGAATTAAAGAAGAGTAATATAATTAATGCCAGTCAAGATGGGATTATGAATAATAGATCTAGTCAAACTAACTTGATATTTTTTGAAGAGATTGCAAGTTTTGTTGATAAAGGTAAGAGTGTTGATGTAATATACTTAACTTCTATAAGACTTTTCACTTGATACTGCACAGCATTTTGAAATAAATATATCAAATATATAGAGTGATATAAAATTAACAATGCATACTTTAAATGGATTAAAAACTGTGTAACTGATAGGTCTAATAATTATCAATGATTTGGAAGAAAACAAAATAATAATTGATAATTTTTGCAAATGACACAAAAATTGGGGGAGGTGGTAAATAATAGAGAACAAGTCACTGATACAGAACAATCTGGATCATTTAGTAAGCTGGGTTCAAACAAGGTTTTTTTTTTAATACAGATAACTGTAAAAATATACATCTAGGAACAAATAACGTAGGCCATACTTACAAGCTAGGGGACTGTATTCTGGGAAGCACTGACTCTGAAAAAGATTTGGGATCAAACCCTATCTCCCATTGTGACAGTGTGGCCAAAAGTGCTAATGTGATCCTTGGATGCACACATAGGGGAATCGCGAGTAGGAGTAGCGAGGTTATTTTACCTTTATATTAGGCACTGGCACAAATGCTGCTGGAATACTGTGTCCAGTTCTGACATCCACAATTCAAGGAGAGGGTTCAGAGAAGAGCCACGAGAATGATTAAAGGATCAGATAACATGCCTTATAGTGACAGACTCCATGAGCTCAATCAATTTAACTTAACAAAGAGAAGGTAAGGGGTGACTTACAGTGTATAAGTACCGACCTGGGGAAC